ACGTGAACACACCCCCATCCTTATCCATCAAGGATAAGAAATAAAAAGGTTTGACAAGTCGGGTGCAAAAACATACACTCGGCGTGTACAAACAAGTGTTTGTACATTACCAATGCAGCTTTAGAGGCATGCAGGCGCTGTGAAGTGCCAGTGAGGACAGAATAACAGCACATAGTCACAGCTCGTCTAACAGATCTTGCTGTGATCTCATAATGGTTTAATTATAACAAACATTCTTATGCTCCACAGAACGAAGCACTTTAAACAAAGTATAATGTTCATGCACGAGTCCCGCCTGAAAGGAGAAGGCTGTCTTGTTCATTGGTGAGTGAAAGACATCTTGCTGTATCTTTACTGCAAAGCTATAGATTGAAGGTTCACTCACACAAACAAGAGAGAATGCAAGTAGCTGAACTAGATCGGTTTCCTCCATCTATCTTATAATAAAATCTAGATGTGTTGAATAGAAGTGTACAATTCATCTACAGCTGAAAAAAAACAAAAAAACCCGAGATCAACCAAGTCAACAAGTGAACTCGTGTATCTGCTGCACAGAGGCGATTAAGTGATAAGCAAAAGCCTATTCTTGAACTTCCTAAAACAGAGTACAGTAACAAGTCTGACCCACATTGTGTTTGTGTAGTTGGGTAGCTGACCTGTGTTCACAGGGGAGAGTTATATTTGGTTAGACAGAGGGTCTTCTCAGAAATACAGGGGAACAAGAGGCTATATTTATATGGCGCTGCACTGCTACAGGTTTCTTGACTATACTCATTGACAGACACATTCACATTTCTTTCACATATGTAGTGTGTACAGTGTGTATTTCATCAGTTTCTACACTTGACAAATGATGTGTTACATGCAGTGTTGGGAAGGTTATTTTAGAATAACCCTGATAATATGTAACAAGTAATCTAACTATTTGAATAACTTAAGTATACAGTGTAAAACCTGACCATAACCCGGATGCTCATGTGCATGCTGACACACTTATTGGTTAGAGTGTTGAGGAGAAATTGGGCTGATCAGTTTAATTTCATGCATCATACTATTTTTCCACCCCTCTCTTCTTACAGTTTGGCAGGTGTTTCTCGCAGTGTCACCCTGGTGGTGGCTTACATCATGACGGTGACGGGACTGGGCTGGCAGGAGGCGCTGGCTGCAGTGAGGGTGGTCCGCCCCTGTGCTGGCCCCAACCTGGGCTTTCAACGGCAACTCCAGGAGTTTGAGGCTACTCAAGCTGATCAGGTCGGTCCTAGGAATTGAGCAAGATGGAGCATGAGAGAGTGTGGAATATCAGTGTTAAGCCTATTGTAAAAATGTTTACAGCGTCATCAAAAGACAAGCTGTTTTTTTTTTCCCCCCTGTAGTTTAGAGAATGGCTACAGAAGGAATATAAGGACAACTCCTTCAATGACGAGGCTGATCTACGAGACTTGCTTGCCAGGATGTCTAAAGTCAATGGTGAGGGGGTGGAAAAACAGGCATCTACCCCACCTGGAGGCAGCTGATCAGATCTTTTGATAAGATATCTCGCCGCTCAACCTGGAGGATTACACCGCCGTTCAACGCTACAGTATTCAGGACCTATCTGGAAGTCAAATTTTTCTTTGCCGTGAACTACCGTCAGGATGTTTATCACAGCTGTGAGTGATCCTCAAAGTATCACGGACATGAACACTGAAAGAGTCAATTAACATGTGAAGCACACAGGCACTGTTTTAGGTTTGGTTGATGTTGATGGTGCAGGTTTCTTTTCCTAATTTATGAATGTTTTTTGTTTTTTTTTGTACTGTGTCACGATGATTTCAAACTGCGAAATAAAAGGAGTAAAGTCAAGTGTTTTGTGAGGTTGTTGTTGTAGTGAAGGTGATACAAATGCATGTTGTGCCCTGTTTACATCACTGTTTCCTGGTTGTCTTCCTGTTTGTCTTATTTGCAAGGGAGGTCATGCATGTGATATCCAAAACACCAAGATCATGTTATTTTATCAGCTCTCTTCAACATTGTCTTAAGAGTCTACAGAGGATTAAAAAAAAAAAACATTAATTTCAGCACGACGAGATATCGCATTAAATAGCAGAAAGCTGGGCATGCGCGTGGAATGCCACTGGATGGCAGTAATACTAAAGTAGCCGAAACATATTTTGGATTCAACCATAGCGTCTTCTGATCTTGGTTCCTCATGCCTCGATTCAATATTTCCCCCAATAACAACATTATACAATTATAGTGAACAGGTGTCACTGAAAATCAGGTTGAAGGCTACTTATAGGCTTTCTGATGACAAAATATGTGGTGTGAATATTGTGAATATTGGTCACATGCACAGGTATACTGTTCCATTCCGTCGCGGTGTCTGCTCGGGGTGTCACGAGAGGGATTCCCCACCGAAGTGCTGCGCTGGAGATGAGTTTCACAGAATTAAGCGCATCTCCTCGTGAACTTCTCAGAGCACGAGAAGCTCCTCCCCGTAACAAATCAAGATGTGATAAAGGACACCGAAAAGCTTCAAAAGAGATTTCAGCGGGGAGAGCTTGCATGATTAACGGTAAGCAGCAGCAGATCCCTTTTTTTAACGAATTGACTGCATTTTCCACATTGAATTCAATAAAGACTTGTAATTTAACAATTAACCCCAATAGATTCAGTCAGGAGAAAATAGGTTCATCATTCATTTTGGAATTTCTGGTATTTGCATAATTGTTCAATCTTACTGAAGTTGAATTATTGTCATGTGATAAGATACGTCGTATCAGCATATATTCCACCATGCATTGTTGTTAAAATTCTTTCTATAATTGTCTTGTGTTTCTATTTATGCACGTGCCTCAAATCTCTTTTCACGACAAAACTGTTAAACGTGATGAAGAAAGTACCACTTGAACCTCCACCCTCATACCCTTCCTTTTATAAAACAGCAAGACCAAAAGTGTTAAAAGCATGGCTAGATGAAATATATTACAACTATAGGGCTGCTGAGGAGAAGTTGTGTGGAGCACAAACTAACCCTGGCAGCTCTTTGATCACTAAAGGAGTTGCAATTGTAACTACAAATTGTAATAATGGTACCTTGAACCATATTCTTCCTCGGTTTAATTTCAATGAGTGAATCTTACATGATAAAAAGTAAAACATTGTGTCGCCTAACTGTGCCTATACTGTTCTGTTATGCGCTTTTGTTTTATTCTAGTTTGCAGAGATGAACCTTGATGAGGACAGTGGCCTGTCAGTCAGCTGCGGCAATGGAAAACTGAGACAGTGGCTGATTGATCAGATTGACAGCAGGATATACGCCGGCCTGGTTTGGGAAAATGATGAAAAGAGCATCTTTAGGATTCCGTGGAAACATGCAGGGAAACAAGACTATAACAGAGACGAGGATGCAGCGCTCTTCAAGGTCCGACCATCCCACCTATACCTTCTCACACTGCACCCGAAGCCTCCAACAGTTCCATTTTCAAACACACTATTGGATATGAATCACCAAAAGCTGTTGTAATATAGTTACTCTGAAAAGCAGATTTAGATTTTGTTTACTTGTTTTCTCTTTGCACACGAAGTGTTCATGCAATAATCCATTCTTCAGAGCCACTCTTAGTATATAGGCACGACTAAAGAAGAAGTGTAAATTAATCGAATCAATAATTGTTTCAGGCATGGGCGTTGTTCAAGGGAAAACATAAGGAGGGAGTCGACAAGCCAGATCCCCCCACATGGAAAACCAGACTACGCTGTGCTCTTAATAAAAGCAATGACTTTGATGAGTTAGTAGAAAGAAGCCAACTGGACATCTCAGACCCCTATAAAGTCTACAGAATCATTCCAGAAGCAGCCAAAAGAGGTGAGTGTATGTCAATAGCATCCATCAAAACTGCAGTGTAGTTTGTGAAAATTACATTCAGCCACACTATGAGGTGTCAGATGTAATTTGGTGAGTAAAATAGTTTATGGTTGAAATTTGACAACTGTAAAATCTAAAGCCCATTGCAATAGTTACTGTATCTACAGACCACTGGTGCATTTCACACAGAATCTCACATTGTTTGCACGCTATTGGCAATTTTTCACATGCGCCACTGCAGTTGTTTCTGATGAGGCAGGAAGCACAAAGGAAGCCAAAGCATGTACCAAAAAGGCCGTAGTGCTTTTTTTAGAGGGCTTTGGTTAGTAAGCGCAGGGTGCACATAACACAATCAGGCGACCTCCAGCCTTGCATAACTAAGTCTCTGCCATCGTACAACAGGTTTTGTCACACCAGAGCAGTTTTTGCTGTCTGAGCTAACAAGTCGAAATCAACAGGTTTCAGCCTCGGTCGTCTGTTGCACTCACTTTGCAAAGCACCCTGTCACTCAAATGAAAAAAGCATGACCTCACAAAGTGCACAAAACATAAGTTTGAACCTGCCAAAATGAATTAGGTTTGTTAAGTTCATAGAATCTTTTGCCTTATATGTTCTCAGTTTGTTGTTAATCTGCACAATACAACTATTTGATCATCCTGGATTATTGTCAAAGATGTTCAGTTTTATTTTTTTGAGGATTGGAGACACAATGTCTTCAAAACAAAGCACGGACAATATTGTGGACTAATTATCTGACAAATGCATTTCTAATTTTGTATGTTTACAGGAATGAAGATAAGCATGGAGGAGACTCCATCACATGTAAATGCCCTTGGCTATATTCCTCCATATACGTCTTCACATGACCAGGTCAGCATGCTGGTCATGAGCACATAAATGAATATGTAGTATTACTGATTGCACATATATTGTTTAAATGGCAACTTGTCTGACTGACCATCCGTGTGGTTCTTTCTCAGGTATCTGGCTATATGGTTTCTCAGGAGAGAAGGGACTGGAGGGACTACTCACCCTCAGAACAGCAGCCGCTTCCTCCTTTACATCAGCACGGGCCACATGCAGAGCTGCAGTACGGTCAGTTCCACTACCCATCACCGTTCAGCCGGGCTTGGCCCGGGTCACACACAGAAAATGGTAAGATATGTCCAGGATTATCAAATAGATAGATTTAATCATTGCCTCTGTATGCGAGTGTGGATGTAGTGCTCAGCATATGATGCATTTCTTATCTTCAATGTCACCTTATTGTCTATATTCTAGATTTTTAGATTGCTTTAATGTGTAGAATTATGCTTTTTTATTTGGAATAATGTCAATTTACTGACGTAAAATGTATACAGATTAGACATCAATAATTAAAAACAAGGCGCTCACCTCTGCACAGTGGCGTAATGCCCTATGACATTCAGCACTCAAATTATGACCATTATTTATTTGATTTATTCTGCACAGGTTTTCAGCTCTCCTTCCACACCTACTTTTCAGACTCCCAACCACCGGTGTATTCTATCAACCAAAACAATGGCATACAAGGTAAAGAATCATCTGGGGCTCATTTAGAGACAGACGCACACAGAAGTTCTCTCACATGCCTGTTTACTATTTTGAAAATATTTGCGCTTGCAGATAAGAAACTACAGAAAACTTTGTACAGCACTTACTTACTTCCCTATTTTGAAGAGTAGCAGGCCATGATAGTGAATTGGGAGTTTTTTTAATCTATCACCCGATGATAGATTATAAAAAAAGGTTGAAAAGAAGCTTGAAATACTAAGAGAGAAGTGAGTAATTCTCTGCATGCCAAGATTATTGATAACAAAGTTGTATTTAGCTTGTTATTCCAGGGCTGCCATCAGATCTGGCTGTGAGGCTCAAATTGTTTCCTACAAGGATGTATCTGCTGAACGCTCGTTTCTTTCTTCCAGATTTCAGCCTGCATGTGTCCCTATACTACAGAGAGTCTTTGGTGAAGGAGGTTACCACCACCAGCCCAGAAGGTTGCCGGATCACCTCTCCTTCCTCCTCCTCTCCATCCTCTTCTTCCTCCTCTTCCCCATGCCCAGAGGACAAGATTCATAGCGGGGCAGAAATCATCCTTTTTCCATTCCCGTACCCTGAGTCTCAGAGGCAGGGTGCTGAGATGCTTCCTAATGTACTGGAGAGGGGGGTGCTTCTGTGGATGACGCCTGACGGCTTATATGCTAAGCGCCTCTGCCAGGGACGGGTTTACTGGGAAGGACCTCTGGCTCCTTATGTGGATAAACCCAACAAGCTGGAGAAGGAGCAGCCATGCAAACTGTTTGACACCCAGCAATTCCTGATTGGTAAGCAAATATGTTTCTTTTGTGTTCGGTTCACACCTGCAGCTTTGGAAGCAATGGCGGAAACACATCGGCAATATAATGTAGTTCATATAGTCAGAAAGTGGTGGTATTCAGAGAACGGCCAAAAAATATAACTTCTCTGAGGACACATTTAATATTATCAGTTTGGTGTTTTACTATTTTGTCATTCATTATCTGCACCATCATCGACATGTGAGTGCCCATAGAGGACTTGACAAACCCATGAATTAACACTTCTGCCACATTGTAGAGTGATATGAACAATGTATTAGTGTATGCACTGCTCATACTGTAGGCTTACACTGGGAGTCAGGTCAATTGTTACCACGTAAGCAGCGGATTAGAACTTCTTTATCTATTTAGCTTGATCGTAAGCGATGCGTCATGTTTTATAAGATGATCGTATATCCCCTACAATGTAGTTCAGTATAAAGTATCGCATAAAGTGGACTCCAATAAAGTACAAGTGTTTTAAAATTGTGCTGAAGTACACTAATTAAGTAAAAAATAGCACAGGTGTTGATTATTCTTCATAGTAATGTTTAGCTCATAGTTTAGGGTGTCATTGTATTTCAGTATGAATTTTGTCCACTGGTGTTTGTACAGTTGGTTGGTGTCATGACAACTGTAAAAAACAACAACATAAACTTTACAGAAGGTATTCCACCTTCTTTTCATTTTTTTAAAGAAAATGCTTTTCACAATCCTTCAGTCAAGTTCTAATTAAAACTACTTGACTCTGTCATGCTGAGATTGTAGTCGTGAGTAGTTGTACTTTTTATCCAGTTGGTGTAGATGCTCTTTGGTAACCGAGGTCATGGATTTGGGTTTTACTGCTCATTAAACTCTTTCAGCAATCAGAATAACTAATGCACTAATAACCATGCTACTTCAGACCACAACCATTGTGACGATGGTTGTGGTCCTGTTGATGATGGCTGTGATGTTAATGATAACGATGAAGGACGGTCTGCAGTTGCTTTAGCTGGGTAAATCCCGCACAGTGTTGAAGTATAGCGTTAAAAGGCTTGTCACAAAATCATCAGGGGGCTAAAGTGTGTGAAGTCCCCACCCACCTCCTGTGGTCCAACACGCTGTATGACAAGATGGTGTTTTCTGAGCCATTTCACACTGAAATTTCCATCATCCAGATCAGTGGTTTCCAGAAAGGACACAATGATAAGGGAAAGTGCTGTTTGAGAAATGATTATTTCTTTTTTTTTAATGTTTCTTCACTGTATATTTTAAAAGTGGTATGGTGGAGTGTGTGATGAGTAGCACAAAGGGGATTTGCTTTGCAGCTCATTCCCCTTTCTGTTCTTGCTCCTCTTCTCCCAGAGCTTCAAGAGTTTGCCCATAACGGCCGACATTTACCGAGACACCAGGTGGTGCTATGTTTTGGAGACGAGTACCCCGACCCACAGCGCCCGAGGAAGATGATCACAGCACAGGTAGCCAAACATATGTCAGACTTATTTGTCACTCTAACAAGCATTTATGTATATTGGCAAATTCATATATGGTTGTTAGAAATACTACTGTACTACAAACGCAAAATGCCGTCTTCATATTTGGTTAACATTAACACCTGAATCCGACTTTTAGTTTACTGTATACTATGTAAATGTGTAATTTCTGTGAAAAAAACCCTTTTTGAATTTGAGCTTACTCCAAAACAAAGTTAGAATAAAGTCAAGCTGCAGCCAAAGCAAGAGAGCTATATGTTGCCTATATGTTGTGAGCTAGTCACAGCTAAAAGTAAAGTTAAATTTACTCATCGACTTTCCCTGGTTGTTATCTGTAATTGAAGATATCCATTTAATATGACCTGACATGTTAGGTATTTAGTTAGTTATTCCCCTTCTTATATACAGTCTATGGCTATTACACATAAATGAGGCAGTATAGTTACTGGGTATAAGGGTAATTAGCTTAGCTAGTTGAATTCTTGCAGTTCAGTTTGGTTAAGCTGCCATTAAATGTACTAAATTAATTAATTACATTGAATGCAATAGCAATATGAAAAGTATTTATAATACGACAGACAGACACCTGAACAGAGATGCATTTAAGTCATATTCATGGACCGTTAATAAGCCAAATAAAGTTTACAAGAAAGCTGCAAGAAGTGCAGTATTTGCATATTTTAGGTATTATGTAGGTTCTATGACAATAACCCTATCTTCATATAAAAGACATCAAATGAAGGCATCGTTGGGGCGCAGTATGCTAGCTAACCAGAACATGCACTTCTAACTTCTTTTTCTCAAGTTCACTGCTTCTTTAGATCACTTTAAATACTGCTCTCTTTCTTTATAGGACAACATAATTAATCAGTCACAGACATATTTCATATATAGACCTAATTTCATTTTAGGTGGAGCCAGTGTTTGCCAGAAAACTGGTGTACTATTACCAGCAGAACAATGGCCACTACCTGCGGGCTTTTGATCACGTCCAGGAACAGAACACATCTACAACAATCGACTATCCTTCCCAAAGACCGCTACAGCATATTCAGGAGTGACAAGCGCACACACACACACACGTGTGAGGGCATGAATGTAAACGTAAACCACTGACTGTTTCTCATGCCCTGTGACTGCAGTGTACTGTAAATGATAGAAGGTGTCATGGAACTGAGGGGTAAAGATGGGGAAGACCCTGTTGTTTTCACTTGCACACCTATGCGTCGTAGTCTTTGTGTCTGTGACTGCAGAGTTAAGTTCTTTTTTTTCTACAAGTATTATTGTGACAGTGTGAAGGATGCGGTTTGAGGGTGAGGGGATGAGAGGAGCGGAGGGCGAGTGAGACAGGAAGTACTAGCACAGGTGCACAGGAAGAATGGCCCCTAACACAAACACTGATATGTCAAAGGGACAAAACTGAGTATGAATTAATAATTATTGTATTTTCAATGTGATTGGTGCACTCATACACTGAAGTGGCACAATCACAAACTCTGCTTTTTAAACTGAAAAAAAAGCTCCTTCTGTGATTCAAAACTTTTGTTGAATACAGTTATTGAAGAGCAAAATAACAAAATTAGCTTGGTGCGCAAGTGTCAACAGTATCTAAGTCCATTGTAGACCTCAATTCTGTTATGGTGGTGTAGTAAAGGAAGCTGCGATACACATTGTTTATCTTTTGGCTGTATGTTGCAGGACGCACTTACGAAAATGTATCGATCTACTGAATCTGGTCAGCTTTTAAAAACGTAATTCCTTTAAATGACATCAAACTGAACATTGTTTTAAGATGATCACAGAGATTGTAAATATTCATTTTTTTCTATTCATTGTTTTTTTTTTTGCTTTGTCTTGTAAAATACTGTATAGTTTTACTTCTTCGGGTGTCAGAAACAATCTGATTTGAAAACACCACCTTCGATTGAACTTCTAACAATTGATAGAGATGAAACTTCTGACGAGGGTTCGCAAGTAGACATGGCTTCATATTCGATGCTCACAAGCAACAAAAGGTTGGGGACCACTGGCTTACAACTCATGATCAGAGAGAAGCTTTGGCCTGAAGGTCTGTGTCACCAGAAAGAGTGGGTGGCCTCGACCAGACTGGACTCAGGCTGACTGGAAAAATCACAATCATCCCGTAACTTGCAAGGAAACCGTTCCTGTTCCTCTTTACCTGAAACTTTAGGCCTCTCAAATGGGAAGAAAAACTACCTTTGTGGTCAGCGTGCAAGTTGAGCCATAGCGGAGGCCTCTGGTTCCCATGCTGATACTGTAGAGGTTCACATACTGGATGTAACGCCCACACAAAACTAAGATCCTAACAACATACAGGGGAATGTGTATACATCATAAGACGTATGAATCCAATAGTCAGGATAATGCAATTCCTCAAGCTCCTGAAGTAATAAAGGCTGATGCTGCAGCAAGAAGGGATACATGTTTTGTTATGTTTTTCCTCTGTGGTCCAGAGTTTCGATCTCTGCATTTACTTCCCTCTCACTTAAACCACATCACTTTCACAATGGCTTTAAAAGTCTGACCAAAATCACAGACGGGAATGTTTTTTTTTTTTATGTGTGTGTGTGTGTGTGTGTGTGCGTGTGTGTGTTCTAAACCATGAATCATTTTCATATCATCTTTCTCTCTGATTCTGTGCTGGGTGAAATTTAGTTTCTCATTATTTCACAGTCAGACTCATTCAAAATAAAACCCTTATTGTGAAAATGTTACTAGCTCCATGTACAGTGTGCTGTTGTGGTAAACACTGTGTGTGTATGTGTGTAAAGGGCTGTGTGTGTGTGTGTACATGTGTGTAGGTGGGTACATATGCGTGTCACGCAGTTGCACTATTACTGTTATCAGGAATTGACATTTATGGACTCAGGATAAAACATGTGACTCCCACCCCTACAACATCAGTGACTCAAACACAGACACACACACCCATTTCACATCGTGCCTTACAGTTACAGCAAAACAGTCAAGACAAACTGCACAGGAAATCACAAAATAAAGTGTACACTGAAGAAAATTAGCAAACACTTTCTATGTCTAAGTCTGTAATGCGTTATAAACATAATTGTAACGTGTTATAATCTGCAAATATTCACAACACTTCATCAAAATAAGTATAACACATCATAAAGCATTTTGAAATTACTTTTATGCTCAAGTATCATAATTCTTTATACTTGATGGTCACTCATTTGTTGTTACAAGTATGTATGTATGATTATTATACACATAATAGAAAGAGTTGCTGAAAGTTGTTCTGTATTTTGTACAACATATATGAATAATCACAAGGAATTGAGATTTTAATGAGATAGATTAATAAATGGATACACGATTTATTTTTGAAATAAACACACCAATCTTCTACTTCTCATGTTTGATGTGCTGTTTTGTCTTTGAGCTCTTTTTGATTGTCAAACAAAGGGAGGGAGAATGAGATTACTTTTTGGTTAAACAAAACAGAAAAAAAGAAAAGCACACTCACACATGGTGTTTCCCCCTCTGCAGGAAGCCACATCATTTGTAGTCGGGCTTCAGCTTTTCCGCCTGTGTGAATCCGTTACTCCAAGTGACACGGCCTTATTCCTTCAGTCGAAGCTTTGAAATGGACAGTTTAGTTTTCTGATGCCCGCAAACATCACCGAAAAAAAGGTTTTACATAGAAATGAAACTACCGCGAACATTTCAAATGCAACACTTTCGCCAAAAGCAAGTTCCATCTTGACTCAGTGATGAGTAATCTGTCTGGGCAAATACTGAAACATTATTAATGTGCACTGTGTCAATCTTTATGCTAATTGTTTCCACCTCAAAAGAAAGCAACAAAACATTCACTGTAACATTGTATTTGCTGTGTAAATATCTCTATATTATTCTGTTAATGCTACTTTTAGTACCCTTCACACATGGATCATCTTGTCATTTGGGGGTTTCACTGCCACTACAGTGGCATCAACACTGTTCACACTCACTGGAGAAGTTGTTCATACTTATACTCTGATGTTCATTTTAAAAGGATTCTGTTAAAAAGCTACAGATTCAGAAATCATTGTTGATTTGTTGATCTATTAATGCTTGATGAATACATCAAGGGTCTGAGGCAAGAAAAGAAAATCTGGGTACATCACAATAAAAATGCAGCAATGTTTTGCTGACATCTGCTGGTTAGCGTAGTCGTAGCTAAACAAGAAGCTCTGAATTTAAAAGGGATGATCAACAAGTTAAAAGAGAAGAACAAATACATGTTTCTGCTGCGTAAAATAATGTTTGTTTATAAAAACATTTTTCTGGGCGTTCTTCTCATAAAATAGTTTTACCTCTTCAGGCCTCGAACAATTATTTAATCTTTGATGAGGAGACGCGATTTGTCTCAATCTAAAACTGTCGGGAACCACTGGGACACAATGCTAAATCCTCCCCACAGTTAGAGTTGTCTAACCAAGGTACAGTTAATACAAATCTCCCTGTTTGTTCTGGGTTGTCTGGTCATTAGGTGTTACATACAGTATATGACATGGCTGTATATGACATGGCTGGTAGTAAGGAGGGCATGAAGATACTGTATACCCTTCTTTAGCCGTCACATGGTGTCAGACATAAAAAAGGATGTCCAGGGGTTAACACTAAAACAAAAAAAACAAACAAATAACATGAAATAAATAAAATTAAAATCTGGTTGGTCTGCTTGCTGGTTAGATTCCCTGCTTACTGAGAACATACCTGTGGTAATTCTACACTAGACTCAGAGTCCATGACCCCGTTTGTTTAGGGTCAGACCTCTGCCCTGGATTTGATGACAGTCCCGTTTAACCCTCAACTCCTGCTTGTTGACCCTGCGGTAAGGAAGGTGTTGACCTCATTCTCCCTTTTTTTAAACAAATTTTGACCCCTGAAAATGATGCTGCAAATCCACCAATCATCACACTCAGGCCCACTGCAGATGCTGAGTTCTTATGAAGCAGTGACTGATGGGAACAAATACTGAGATAAACTGCTGACAGATGATCATGTTAAGACTTTTGTAATGGCAGAACAGAGGACAATAAAACTGCCTTGTGTAAGTGTGGCTGAGTACATATCATTACTCTCTATAATCCTCTTATTATAATGTCAGTCACTATCATTATGTTATTATTATTATTATGAATTCTCAGGATATGACCTACAAGGCATGAGAATTGCTCTCCTTCACCAGTAAATAGAACTGTTATCACCACAATGAATCGGCTTGAATTGTTTTCAGATGTCTGTGTTTATCTGAGACTCTTCAGATAACAACGTACTTGACCAAATACATTATGATGTCGGGAAAGCAATAACAGTTGTCGGATAAGGAGCAGCAAAGTAATGGAAAACAATCGGAGGACTCGGGACAGCAGTGTAAACAGATAAGGGTGATAAGCAGAACAATATGGTGGTCTACCTGGCACTGATGCAAGGGCAGGGCTGCTTGTTTAGTTTGGCTGGGAACTCACAGAGGTTTCGGCGATAAAGGATGTCACACTGTAACGTCATTAGACAAAGTAGGAAATGCTGCATTTTCACCATAATCGAGATTTCCTCCAGAGACACACAACAGAGATACAAAGTTACCAACCAACCAGAAACAAAGGGGGCTGTGCACGGATGTGTATGCAGTGAAATAAATGACCAGCAGGGAGTGATGTATCATTGGTTGGTTGCTGTACTTGAGCTGGAGAGAGTGGAAATATGAATTCTCCACATGCAAAGAACGACATGATGCTCACACATCTGGGCGGTTGGACTGCAGTAATCAGTGCATTCACAAAACCCTTTGATCACCCTTAATGGTGCAGGGACGTGACTCTCTGTAACACCCATGCCTCAACATACAATCATACATCCACACATGCATACGCACACACACACACACACACACACACACACACACACACACACACACACTCAAAGTTATTATGAATTCCCTCAATTGATTTGGATTCATCAACATTGTCAAATCATGCTCTCTCTGGATTTCCTCCTAACATTTTCCTATCAAAATAAAGAGTTTGTGACTCCACTTCTTTCAATTTCCATCTTTCTAAACACAGTTGCTTTGTTCCGAGTGTCAAGTGACGGGCAGAACCAGTGCTGACGGAGAGACGGAGGTGGTCAGAGTGACAGCTCGTGGGCTGTGTTGCGTGAGAGTGACTCGAGCTGTTCTCAGACTCTGTGTGGTCTGGGTGTGTGGTCTCCAGCTGACGGGCTGGGAGGAGGACAGGAGAACCCTCTGAGTGTGTGTGTGTGTGTGTGTGTGTGTGTGTGTGTGTGTGTGTGTGTGTGCACGCTCATATGTTTACTTTATCCAGACTCAGGTTTGGGGCTCTCTGTAGCCATGGCTTGACTAAAAAGCTCTGCCTTCCGCCACTCAGCAGCCCCGGTCTGAAGGATAAACACATACTGCCTCTACTCTGACATGGCTCATCTCAGGATCATTTTTATCCATGTATACATGTGAGACCTGAGAGACCTTTAGGTTAGAGGGTCTTAGGCTGGTGTGTATTTTCTGAAACTATAGCCTTGTATAGAGTAATTGTTCGACTGCCTTTTCCTAACATTATTGAATTAGAAATTGACACAATTTCTTAATCTTACCTTCAGAGTGTATTCATAGACTTTTAGCATATTTGCACTTGTGACAGGTGTAACCATAGTCATGATTTCTCATCATACTTATTACTTTTTATCCTTTAGATTTATTTTTTACTAATCCAGTCTTTTAGCAAAACATCAGAAGCATGCCACATTGCATTTTACCCAAAACATAATACTTACATATAAACCTTTGAATCCTCAAGTCCTAGTTGATGACCTGATTCTTTCTGTCATTTATGCTCTGAAGTAAGACATGCATACATGTTGGTTTTATGACTCAGCACTATGCATAGTGTAAGTATAATGATATAATTTCCTTTTTTTTCTTGTTTGTAAATATTTTGACAAAAGTGTTATGTTCAACTTGTTTATGACACAATCAAATTTTTCAATATTTTTTATAGTGCCTTATTCCTTTTTTATTAAGTCCGCAGACAGACCCAATTAAAAAAAACATAGGCAACACAGAATATTTAAAGGTCTCACCTTTAAGATCATAAAGTGCATATTCACATTGAAGGACATTAGACCTCATACGACCTCTATCACGCTTCCCTCCTGCACACATACATTCAAACATTGGGCTACTCTACACTCTTCTCCCTCTCCCACAGCGATCTCAAGGGAAGGCAATGTAATGCAGCACTGCTGAGAACGCGCCATGAAAATATAAATACAACCTCGCCGCATTTCAACCATGTAAATAAACAGGGCCACCCAAATTTCCAATTAGAACTGGTGTGGAAGGCAGGAAATGGGGTAGACAAGAAGAGACCACACCCCCTTCTCTCACTCCTGCAAAGAGTCCAGGTCCAGGTCCAGGTCCAGGTTGGGGACACGGGACAAAGGCAGAAGAGAGGGGAATATAGCATTCAACATCCCACTCAAAGCTGTTTTTGCACATCCCCCTCCAGCTCCACTGCTCCTCCTCATTACCTCTCAAGGAAGGGACTCTCTTCCACACAATTCAGATATGGACATGGAAAGAATGTGTGGGATTTAATGCTTATACCTATGAAATCACTATAATCTTGGTAACACATACGATTTTTTTTGGTTCACATGCCTTCACCTCACCAGCATTTGATTTACTTCATTTTGAGAAACCAAGCTTTACACCAGCTTGCCTTATCAGTTCCATCAAGGTTATCAGGCGATTCCTATCTGGCTGAAATGAAGCATTCTTGCTGTATTCCACGTCTTCTTGGAACAGCTAGGCACCGTTATTACGCAGCTAAGCCCCGAGACCACCCAGGAGCTTGGGTCCAGTTGTGCGAGGCAGAGGCAGGGTCGTTGTTGAGATAAGAAAGACAAGCATTCTCTAAGGAGGGATGGTGCTTTGATAGTGTAGCGAGATTCCCCTGATAGCTGCCTGATCAAAGTCTGATAGACCCCCTGGCATTCAGGTGGAACTCATGTGCCTGTTGGTCGATCAGTGCTTCAGCTGATGCCAGTTGGCAAACATCATGGGGCCTATTAGTTAACATAAACATACAACTTAGTGAAACTACCCCAGAGAGTCAAAGAGCTGTGTCATGAACGTCACTTTCACTCCTCATATGGCTGTGGGATATCACCACAGTTCTTAATGACTTTAATTCACCCGGAAAGGGCAGAGCTCATTTAGATAAAGTAGTAGAGAAGAATCTGAGGTAATGATTTTTCCTCACTTTGTATGTTTGCAGCAAAGCTCGGCGGTTGAGTTGAGTTGAGGGCACCCACACAGATAGCCTGAAAAACTGTGTCTTTGGACAAAATTCTTCCCCGTCCATCATCCATTGTTCAATGTTTATGTTTGAGTGGTCTCTGACTGCAGTGTTTCTTCCCTCATAGGCTCCCAAACAGCCATACAGGAAACAGACAGTGTAAACACGGGGCTCAGGAGATCCTCTCTGCCTTGACTCTGAACTGCAAAACCTCAATGTCAACACACAGAGACACCGGCTAACGTTTACCATTTTCACTATCGTAGTTCAGTGTGTTAGCATGCTAATTTTGCTAATTAGCGCAAGCTGAGGCTGATTGAAATGTCATTAGTTTTGCAGGTTTTTTACACAAATGTCAACTTCATGGCGCAGCTACAGGAAAAGTCAGGAGGTCACTAACATCATTAGGATTCATCGATGTTCAGATATCTTTCTGAATGACTTAAAATATTGACCTTCTATTGTCGCTACAGGAAGGTTCGCACCAGTCATTAAGATTCATCCTCTGGGGACCATGAACATCATATTAAATTGTTGAGATATTTTAGTCTGGACCAAAGTGTTGGAGAGACCAACATTGCTGTCTTAGGGCCACACAGCTAACATGGCTAAAAAACTCAAACGTAAGAAGATGTTCACATTAGAAGTTAGTCATTAAGATAATTAAGAATCAGAAAGCTGCGTATCATGTCTGACTGCACAAAATAAACCACGGGTCAAAGCTCTCATGAGTCACAGAACAGTCAAATCCTAGAGATATACAGTCCATTAGGTCTCGCGTTTGCTACTTGACGTTCCACAGTTCAGGATTCTGCCAGACTGGATTGAAAATATGGGGAAACACAATAACGCAGCATTAATTCTTAAGTGCACCACTGCAATTACATTCTTTGAGGTGTAAAAATGAAAAGGACACACTGCAAACGCTACACCAATATTGACCTTCCATTAAATGAGACTTAAAGCTTTCTGTCCTGCTTCAATGTTAAGACCTCTGCAAGCCCCCGGGGGAATGTATTTTCATCAGCAGTGTGGTGGTTTTAACAACCTCGGTTAGAACAACATGCTACAGACTGGTACAGCGGGGAAACACCCCGGTGCTGGATTAAATGGCCTGCTGAACATCAGTGGGAACAACTTTGAGATCTATTTGTCTA